ATATTAGAACTATTAAAAAGTTCAAATTTTCTGAGTCCGCTTCAGAAAATATAAAAGGTAAGCTCATTTTGACATCAATATCACTATATGTATATATAAAGCATCTTACAACTTCTAATAAGAGTTGGTTGATGAATATACAAATATATATATATAAAACACCCTTTGAAAAGAAGTTCAATTTATCTTAGCCTCTTCCTAGCTTTATACCATTTATTATCATGATGAGTACACTTACCCAAGCATCTTTTCTATTCCTTAAATTCCATCCAACTCTCTCCTTTGTATAAGTATCACAAAAATATATTGAAAAATATAATTTAACCAAATGATTTTATTCCCCTTTTCTACTAAATTATTTGGTGAAAGTGATATCACTGCAAATACATTAAAGCCCTTCACATAATCCTAATTAGTTGCATTTAATACATAGATTTATCTTTTGACATATAAGTCCAAACATAAGTTGACATGACCTAGTCCGTGCTAAAATAATTTCTACAAAAACTTGTTATTGTAAGCATGCATGACAAAATTTAATTTTATTAAACAAACGTAAAATATCAACTGGCAAAACAATTTTTTTTAACTAAAAAAGATAACCACAAAAGCAAAAATTGCATAGATTCTTCTATTCTGATTCCCCGATGTTTTTTTTTTGATAGCTTTCGTAATCGGTTCTCCTTTCCTCCGTGAAACAATTACTTTTTTGTGGTAAAATAATTAATTATATATATAGAGAGAAAATGATTTGGCACGTGTACGTAAAGGGTGCTCCACCCAGGTTCGAATCGCACCTGACAAATCACATATTATTAAAAAAAGTATTTGGCACGTGCGGGGCCGTGTGGGCCATTGACCCAGATCAGATGTCTCTTAGTTTTGTCTTGTAGTGAAACTTACTGGGCTGAAAAACTCGGCCTGTCAAGGACCAGCAGTTTTTTTTTTTAAATTTTTTTGTCACGTAATGATATCATCATTTGAAAAGAAATTTCTATATAATCCAAATATTACGTGACAATTGATGGTTATGAACAAGTGAGAATTTTTTCCCGGGAAAGAAAATAATTTTTTTTATAAAGGTATTTGATTTGTGATTATTTCTCGATTTTGCATCAAGTAAAATCAGTAATCTATATGGATTAATATATGTTTTTAATATCTTTCTTAAATATTATATCTCTTTTGACTTATTCTTTTTCGCGTTATATATATTGTGATTGGATGTTTCGGAACAAAGTCCAAGCATGCAAAAAAAAATAATTAATGGATAATTTTGTAATGATTATCTTTAATTTCTTATACAATATGTTTTAATCTGAGTATATTCAGTGGCGCTTTAGTCCACGGTCATGATTAGAGAACCTTTTATTTTTATCAAGAACTTTTTGCATTAAAATATTACATTGATTTGTAATTTATTTTTATCAATAATATGACCTGAAGTATTCATTAATTGATAGTGTGTATAATTTATATAGTAAGCATATATTTTACTCACATATATGTATGTACATAAAGGTGATGTAAAGTAATTACAGAAAAAATGGCAAAGAGAGCTTGTCTCGTGTAAGAAGACGAGAAAATAATGAAAACATAATAAAATAAGAAAAGCACGAATTAGGGGTTTTGGGATCTGTGTATTAATTGGCCTTATTTTTTACTAATTGTGCTAATGAGAATGCTTGATGATTATTTTAATTATATATCACCAGTGAGATATGGGTCTACCAATATTACTCTTTCGAATGATATATACGTGCGTGTATATATATATATAATAAATATGTATAATTACCATTAATTCATAATATATTAACAACAATGAATGAGGAAATTAGTTGGTTAGTGATAAATAATGCATTCACTTTTTAAATTTTCGCTTAATCTGTATTATCTGTTTCCATTCAATGTAGTCCAAATAAATAACCGATTTAATGACTAATCACCCAATTAAGGAAAAATTTAATCACCTCTCTTAATTGCGTAAAGGAATTACCCATAAAAAAAAGTATGCAACAGAGTTTAAAGGGGAAAACTATTAAAAAAAGTGTTTAAACTAAGATTGTTTGTCATTAAATTTGTTCTTCTTATAAAAAATGACAATGTTATCGTAAATCAAGATTTTAAGGTCGTCGTACATATGATTTTTTTTTATAAATTGTAATTATAAAAAAAATGCAGATTTTGCTCTTTGAAGTACTCTGAGCTTGTATACATATATGTATATATATATATATATATATATATATATTGTGTTTTCCAAAGAAATTAATAAATCGAGTACATATAGCATACTTGATTAGACAATTAATACATTTCTTGGGTGAGAATAAAAACAAAGTGTTCATTAGATAACTAATTAGAAATATTCATCCCGAACATGGAATTCCTCTCCATGGTTTATTTATTTATTTTTATGTATTATTAATTATCTCCTGAAGTGATTATAGTTCCCATGATGGATGGAGAGGCATGTCTAGTTAGCAATTAATCAATGCGTGAGTTCGTGTACGCATGTTTACGCATACATATACGTACACGAATCTACACTTAGATTTGCGTATGATTTCAACTTATGAATAATTGAATATTCATAATTGAGCGACGGCATCACAACTTTATTGACTAACAAATTATAATATCAAATATTAAAAAAAATAGTAGTAAATAAGTTGCTAGCGTTATGATTAAATATATTATTAGAATACAAAATAGTGTAATTAATTTACCATTTTCTTATCTTAATAATACAATTTGTCGTCGAGAATTTGAGATATTCAACCAAACGTTTTTTGAGATATTGAACCATGGTTGAGAATTTAATTCAACCAAATATTGGTGAGAACGTTCGGGACATTGGCGGTAATTTGACAATCTCAATTAATTGCACCAATATAAAAAACCTAAAAGGACACGAGGCTAGAGACACATTTTGTTCAAATCCAACGTCGTATTCCCGCGGTTCGCGTCTTGAACTCACACAAAAATCCAACAACAAAAACAACATACAACCAAAATAAGGTCACACACATTTCGATTCACAGGATGTTCCCCATAATCCCGTTTCTTGGCCCTCCTCAACGAAAGGGCACGCTTCTGCTTTCAACCTCAATCAGTTTCGCAAAATTTGCGCAGTTCCCGTCGGCGTCAATCTTCCTCGCCTGCAACTTGCAATTTCATCACAGAGTGCACTCTCTTTTTTTCATAAGAAGTTGTGAAAAGCCTTTCTACCATATTACTTTTTACACGTACATACAAAAATAGTATAAATAGATGCTAGGCAGATTTTGTTGTTGTTGAACCTTGGTCCGTAAGTAGCAACATTTTTAGAATATGTGGGGGAGAGAGTGAACTCATCTCTACAAACATGTTATTCAAAGTTGTAAATTTTGTTTTTGTGAAATACAACTCGACAGTTTATATCACATTGTTTCATCGATCCTTAGCAGTGTTATTAAATAGCAGAAATTGCAGATTTCGCACATAAATTACCCTCAGAAAGAAATTCACAACAGAGTTTAAAGAGAAAAAGTTGATTATTAAAAAATATTTAAACTACGATTGTTTGACATGAAATTATTTTTTTCATATAAAAAAATGACAATTTTATAAACCATACAAAAGAATCCTTTCGGTATATACAAAAATGTGTTAAATTCGATCGAGTGATTAATTTTGTGTATTCTAATTTGGACAACTTATGAATGGACATTGTATAAAGAGAAATGGACTTTTGTCATCTTCCGACAACAAAAACCAATACAATAACAAAGAACAGAAGAAAGATCTGAGAAGTAGAGGCCTATGTTTTGTCCTAATCTCATCCACTCACCGAGTTGGCAACGATGGTTTCTGATGAACTAATCATGTTCTGCCACGTGTAATACTCAGGGGAGTGAGAAAACGTTATAACATCATGAACAATCAGTCTGCCGAAAAAACGTCGAGGTGAAGAGTTTCGAATTAAGATTGATTGCTCATGATTCTATGATAAAAAACTATTTGCGAAAAGTATGAGATGACAATCGGGATGTGATGATTAATGCATGGTTGTTGCTTGGGAAATCATAGTTCTTATTGTAATGTAATTTTTTTTCTTATATATATGTATATATATTGGTTATACCTATAGATGTTGAGTTGGTTATTTTAAGATACATGAATGATTAATACAAGAAGCAAACAATATAAACAATGTGAGAGACAAGTAGAAAATTGTTGGATTTTTATTGTTCGAGATAGACAATTACAAAATTTATATTTAGAAAATAGAATTATAAAATATTTTATTTAATTAATATAAATATATAAAATATAAAGATAAAAGCAAAGATATTATTATGATAATATTTTACGATATTCTTCGCACATCTTCAAATTCTCTATAATATTCTACGTATGTCTCGATATATTTTTAAAAATATTAATGTAATCGGAAGTAGCAACCTAATTGTTGGATTGCGTTGCATGTCATGATATTTCAATATATATGCAAATGACACAAATATGTATAAAAGGAATATGAATGGGCTTGTAGTTTTGGCACTGAGTACGGCCCACATATAATAACGTTAGAGAAACCCAAAATTTAAATAAAAATTTTGTGTGATAATTGATGGCCCAAATGGGATCGTTGAAGAAGGACAGCACTTGACCGTTTTGTGTTGGAGAATCATGTATGCATTCCGAGTGACAGAAAACGCAAACGATGTATCCAAACTATTAATTAATGTTTGTATATATTCACCAATCCATGACTTTAAAGATTGGAGCTTTCTGTCTTGTTTCTTTTGGACAAAACCTAATTTTTTGAGTTTTAAAAGTTTATTTTCTTTAATCAAGGAGATAAAATACGGAGAACATGGACCCCAACCAATCTCCTCACGAATTCAAATTTCTATACGTACAAAAGGTTTTGTATATTATAAAGGTTTGATTGTTTTTGAAATTTATTGAGAGGGACGATAAAGTCACTCTCTTTGACTATGCCCCCGGAGTCCCGGACAATCTGAATTCTGACCGTTTCTCTCTCTCTCTCTCTGTCTCTCACAAGCATAGAGAGATTAATATTTATTTTCTTTCGGGTTTGATGAGAAAAATATTTTCAAATTTATAATCTTTTTGTGTTCTGGACACCACGAGACACGACATTGGGTTTTCTCTCTGCAGTCGATACTCAGCTGCAAGCTTCTCTTGGAAGCCATTTTCACTGCACTGTTATAAAGCTCTGTTTCTTCTTCGTCTTCTCTTCTCTGTGTTTCCCTTTGAAGGAGAGAATGAGCGCTTCGAAGTTCATCAAATGTGTTACGGTCGGAGATGGAGCTGTCGGGAAGACGTGTATGCTTATCTGCTACACCAGCAACAAGTTTCCCACTGTGAGTTTCGTCGCGTTCTTTTGGTTCGTTTTGAGTCCTGCTTGTCAGAAATGATCGTTGAATGTCAGATTTTGGTTAGGGTTTTGGGTTTTTTAGTGTATCCAAATGGGTCAATCCGGTTAAAGCTTGCTCTTTTCTGTAATTTAACTGCATTTCGTCATCTTAGGTATCGTGTTTAAGGTTTCTGAGTAGTTCCCCAAAGTGGGGTTTCCACCATTTGAGATGGGTATATCCTCTACAGGTTCTGCTTTCTAGGGTTGAATCTGGTTAAAGCTTGTTCTTTTCTGTAATTTAACTGCATTCTGTCATCTTAGTACCGTATCTAAGGTTTTTTGGGAGTAGTTCCCCGAGTGGGGTTTCCACCATTTGAGATGGGTATATCCTCTACAGGTTCTGCTTTCTAGGGTTCTTCTTTGACTGCTAATTCATTCATGCTTTATGTGTTTGTTCACATTTTCAGGATTATATACCCACTGTTTTCGACAATTTCAGTGCCAATGTGGCTGTGGACGGACAAATCGTGAATCTAGGGCTCTGGGACACTGCAGGTAATTCAATAGCACACTCGATTGGATGACCACTGAGGCAATGGACATTGTTCTTGAAACTTTCTTCCGAGTTTAATAATGAAATAGTCTCTGAGAAAGTTTGGTGTGTTTTCATGGGGGATTGTTCTTGATGGTGGGAAAAGGTCAAGAGGACTATAGCAGGTTGAGGCCGCTGAGTTACAGAGGCGCTGATATCTTTGTCTTGGCATTTTCATTGATCAGCCGGGCGAGTTATGAGAATGTCCTTAAGAAGGTAATGCTGATATCAAATCCCGCTATATCGAATCTTTAGACCAGCGAAATTCTGAAACTTTTTTATGTTGCTTGTTGCTTGCAGTGGATGCCTGAACTCCGTCGGTTTGCACCCAATGTCCCGATTGTTCTTGTTGGCACAAAGCTTGGTGGGTTTTGCATAAAGAGTGTTTTTTAGATTTGTCAAGTCTGTCTAAATTTCAATGGCTAATAAATAGTGATCTGTGATCTGTTAGATCTTCGCGAGGACAGAGGGTACCTGTCAGATCATGCGGGTGTCATAACATCTGCTCAGGTACTTGTGTTTTTCCTCGGTTATACAAAAACGGTTTCCTGGTGAATAGTTTGTTCCGGTCCTGAAGTTTTGGAATTGGACAGGGGGAGGAACTGAGAAAGCAAATCGGGGCAGCCGCATATATCGAATGCAGTTCCAAGACTCAGCAAGTGAGTACCTCTTATAACTCGTAATTACCAGAAAATTACCCGTGTGGCGCATAGGTTTACGATCAAGAACCATGACCAGGCTCATGCTCTAATCCAAAAAGGCAAATTGTGCGAGGAAGGTTTCCATACGTGTCTCAACCGGTTATCTTACCCTCGTTCCTTGTTTCCCGAAAACATTTCTCTTTGACAATGCGAGTATGCATATTGCAGAATGTAAAAGCGGTTTTCGATACAGCGATCAAGGTTGTTCTTCAGCCTCCAAGGAGGAAGGAGGTCACAAGAAAGACAAAACCTAGAAGGTCTGGCTGCTCTTTTGTGTAAGTTCTTTACCTTTTCTCTTATGTTTTTCTCCTTTCTTTAGTTTTGGGAAAGAGATCATGGAAATCTAAAGCGTTGTTGGCCACTTGAAGCTTTCATTAGACTCTCTCTTTCAAGTTTTTTTATACCAAAAACCGGCTAAAACTACCGGTTTTATCATAATTTTTTACATTTAATGAAAGCTTCTGAAGCTCCCATTGTTTATGTTCAAGTAGGAACTTGTAACAATGATCATAATATGGCACACACCATTAACTTCTGAAATCTTGAGAACTTCATTCATACATTCTTTTTTGTTTACATGTGCAGTGGCATTGTATGTGGGGGCTGTGTGGCTTAGGACACAAAATCTCGGACTCTGTTCTGTTCTGTACGGAAAACTGTCCTGTTGTACTTGTTTCCAAAACTTGAGAATGGTCGGATTCGGGTTTAAGAGTTTTCTCGTGTAAAAGGGAACTGATCGTTCTCTTGATATATGGTTAACCCTCTCTTTCCTTTCCTGTTGTTATTGTAAACTGCAATCTGTAATATGCTTTTGAATCTGAAGAAATGTTGTTTTAGGAGTTTGGATTCTCGTGTTCTTAGACCTCTGTCGGACATCGATCTGAATCTTGTTTGGTTAAAAAAATCGTTTCTCAAGTTAGGTGGAAAATGCGATAAAGAAATAATGAGTACTTTTAGGAAAACGAGGAAAGTTTAGGGTCATTTGGAAATTAAAAGAAGCACGTGTACTGATTGTTAATTAATCAAAGTTTTGAACCTTCCCCTGCAAAATCCACCTCCCTAGGGTTTCCTCTCCTTCTCGGACATCTAGATTTCAGGAACGGACTGATCTGGCAAACCCATAGCAGAGAGATGGGGTCGAGAGACAGAGAGCGGGAACAGGCGACGCAGCATCAGCAGCCTCACATCAGCAGCCTCGTCGTGAGGCCGTCGGTCAGCGACGGAGGAGGCGGC